GCGGTATGATATGGGTTGGTAGTCCCCCCCCCAAAAAAACAAAGCCATGCAGGTGCTGTCAGGCTTCGCGTGATTAGAAAATGTCAACCAATCTGAGAACAGAAACCACCGGTTTCCCCCGATTGTTCATATGAGCTGCACCCACCATCCTCCGGACAAGCAAGCGTCAGGCGTGTCAAGTTTTGGGCGGAAGCCGAATTGAGCTTCTCGCATCTTTCGCCCGCTCCCACCATCCGGCAGTCCCTGGTGCAGCGTCGAAACCAATGATTTGCAGCCCATTTCCGGAAGAGAATTCGGTCTGTAGTTACTTTGTCAAGTTGGCTCCCCTTTTTCTCAAGAGAAACACTACAATATTAAGTACTTTCCATGTGGATGGTATGTTTCTCGTCTCCCATCGTTTTTGGTATACGTGTAGGATCACTTCGAAAACATGTGTTTCCAGCAACGGGTTCCCAAACATCTGCGGGTACGTCATTCGGCCCAGCTGCTATCAGACTGCTCATATTTCTAATCGCTGCTCGGAGCTCGTCCAAGGAAACGGTGTCGATGTTGATCGGGAGCATACGAAGTTTGTCGGCAGCGCGCCCCCAAGCACATTGGTGTTCATGGGGACCACGTCGGCTAAACAGACTCGCCAGTGCACCTCCTCGAAATACTCTGCAAGAGTGTATGAACTTGTGAGAAAAACAACATTAGATTCCCATTCAGGCCTTTAGCCCACACGTGCGTGAAAGGCGATCGCCTTCGAAAATGCTCAACGGCGTCCCAACTACCCGTGGAAACCAAATTATCCAGCGAAGCCGCACGATCTGGTTTCCCCGCATGCTTAATGGGGGTCTTGTTTTCTTCCAACCCGCGCCGCACCCGCGTCTCCCTCACTCACCTCCCTCCCTCCTCCCTCCTCACTTGTTCCCCACCTAGTTCGTGGGGTTCGGGTTGTCTTCCCACCCGCGTCGCACCCGCGTCTTCCTCACACCTCCCGTCTCCCTCCTCCCTCTCCTCCTCTCTCTTCCCTTCTCCCTCCACCCACATAGCCGCACGCCATGCCATATACAAGGCTTGCGTTTAGGATTCGCAGTGCGCGGCAGGCTTGGCACTTTCTCGACACCACAAGGGGTGCGCTGGGGGTGATTTCCCTATACGTTGCAGGCTCGCAGGGCGTGGCAGGCTTGGCACTTACTCGGCACCACAGAGGGTGCGCTGGGGGGGGTCTCCCTATTTGCTGCAGGCGCGTAGGGCGTGGCAGGCTTGGCATCCTCGACACCACAAGGGGTGCGCTGGGGGTGGTCTCCCTATCCGCTGCAGGCGCGCAGGGCGTGGCAGGCCTGGACAAGGGGCTAGAAAGACAAGCCTGCCGGCAGACGAGAACATCAAGAGCAGATGGAGGAGATCTGGCCAGGGGGATCACGCGACTCGATCACTTCGCTGAAGCTCAGGACCCGATCTGCAAGTATGAGCATACACGTGAGCTTCGCGGCAAGGAACGTGCGGAGAAGGTCAAGATCTGGGACACGCGGGCGCGGCCCAGTCAACCTGTTCCATGCCAACTGTGCCAGAACATAGAGTTCATTTGTAAATCCGAATGGCTCGAGCACGTGAACAAGGAAAACGGAGGTGAACAGAGGTATCGCAATACCCTCTTCGCGCTAGAAGCGCTGTGCCTGGCGACGTACGTGCAGAAAGATTAAGAACGCAACACTGCGCATAGATGGTAATCCTAAGCGAGCGCATAAAACTTAAAAATTAAGTATATGGGGTTCCTCGGTGGCGAAATTTCCAGTTTCCCGAGAAACACACTCAGATTGGACAGGATCATATCGTCGGAGATCTGGGTTTGGGAAGCCTGGGCATCAAAACTCGCCCACCAAGTCCGTCCTGGGGTGCGTTCGGTCCAGAATCCCACCAGTCCTCCGGGATTGGGTGGTTTAGCGAAGTTTGTCTTCTCTCTTTCCACAACCCCTGTCCCCTGCTCTGGGGAGGGATTAATGACTGTTCCCTATTATGTGTACACCCTTCCCCACCCGGCTGGCGGCCAACCCAAAACCACGACAACCCCATGAGGGCCACGCCCCTCATCATCCCTCTCAACAAAAAACACACTCTGCCTCCATTCTGCCACCCCGCTGCAATGTTGTACTGCTATTTGACTAAAGCAATCCCACCTGCATTCTGGGCGCAGGTCGTCGACCGACCGGTTTGACACATCAGTGGCTGCTGCCCTTCTCGCACGTTTGTTTTTCATGCGTGGGTGGGGGCGGCCGCGCGCGATGGCCAGCAGCCACAAGCGTGCGCCTGGGCGTGCGCAATTGCTGGCGTAGCAATAGTTGTGGCGCGCGAAGGTGGAACCCCTATAAATTCCCAGTGGCTGGCGCACTTGGCGCGGCTGGAACACGTGGAACACTGGGCGCACGTGGGGCACGTGCCGCACCTGGCACGGTTGAGCCTCCAGGGTCTGGTACATCTGGGACCTGTGGCGTAACATGGCTCCAACGCCGAATTAAGATCAATGAGGTTTGCGTTCTGGGCATTTCGCTTCTGATGGGTTTCCGAAGCCTCAAAATGGCCCCAAGACGGCCCAAGAGAGACCCAAGATGGGCCCAAGATGGCCCCAAGAGGGCCGTACAAGCGCCCAAGAGCATCCCAAGAACGCCCCAAGGAGGCCGCAAGATGCAGTTTCTGACCCTCCGAGACGGGTGCATCAATTGAAGACCCCCCCCTTGAGCTACGGGGGCCAAAACGGCCACGAGAGACCTCGCCGACCCGGCCAAAGGGCCCACAGGGGGCCCAAATATGCCACCGAAAGAATACCAAGAGGGCGCCAAAAAGGGCCCCAAGAGGACACCCCGAGATCCCCAAAATGACCCCGAGATACCTCCGAGAACCACTCACAACAACGCTTCAACTCGCCTGGCAAAATGATTATGACTGGGCTGGTGGGGATACTTAGAGCCGCGCGCCGTCAGGATATTGCCGACTAGCAACGACCTAAGTTACAGCGGCCTAAAGCAAACCGTTGGTGGGGATCTTTTTTGGTCAACATGCTCGCGAGGCGGGTCGAAAGCCGTCCGAACACTAGTCGGGCCGCGACCAGGCAGCAGGAGAAGACATGCAAGCAAAGCGAGCGAGCGGGCATCCACTCAGAAGGAGAGCCAGAACCGATACTCCCAAACCCGGTGGCGTTGAAAAACCCGGTGGCGACCAGCAAGTAAGCGCAGCCAAAATGGCGCGGCGGCGCGACCATGAACACGCAGAGGTCGATCGTTCGGTGTGAGTCAGGCAAACAACACAGTCAGAGACGAACTAGACCGACAGGCACACCCAGACGACATCCGTGAAGTAGGCGACACAATGCCAAAACGTCGTGTCGGCGCAAAAGTGAAGAAGGGCAACCTCGTTTCCGACCAGACTGCAAACGGCAGTAAAACCTGCAACACGTGTCGAAAGCGAAGTCCATGCAGGAGAACGTCGGCCAACGAGCGCACAGAGCCACACATGCCAAACCCGAGCTCCCGGTACCGGAAGGTAGGCAATGTAGCGAGAGACCCACTGGAGCCCCCCGGTCATCAGTAGGGGCCGACACCAGACAGGAGCAGGCCAGGGGGCACCTGACCTCAGCGAATGCGTGACGCAGCACCATTCCCTGCGTGAGCCCTTGCATGAATTCCACACCACCTGAACGCCATCAGGAAGCAGTATTGGGCAGTCAACCCTAGCCGCCAGGGAAGAACCCTGTGACATAAGGATACAGGAGGAGACGAGGGGAAGTGCACGCCAGGCACGGCAGTCACCCCGGCGTGGCAGCTAACCGCTGCAGCATTAGGACGCAGGATGGGGGAAAGGAACAGCACGCCAGGCACGCGGCGCGGGTGCAACAGCTAACCGCTGTGGCATGAGGATGTAGGAGGAGAGGAGGGGAAGTGCACGCCAGGCACGGTAGGCACCCCAATGTGGCAGCTACCCGCCGCAGCATTAGACGGCAGAAAGGGAGGGCAGGAACTGCGCGCCAGGCACGCGGTGTGAGAAGAGGAAGAGGGTGAAACATATGCTCGAGCAGTCGACGCTGGCAGAGACAATCACGGCGGGCTGCCAGTCCACATGCCCGGCGCGATGACAAAACCACATCTCAGCGAAACTGGGTTGTGCCCCACACTCTGTGTTACTGTCGATACGGTTTCTCGGTCCACGGGCTCTCGGTTGCTCGGCTCCTCTTCCCAGCCGTGCCCAGAGCATTCCCACCCAACTGCGAGCGGCCAGTGTCGGCGCCCACGAGATCCCGACCATCTCGCGGGGGTGCCGGGTGCCCCCTGTTCGCGCCGACGTGATGTCCCAGGATTTGTCCACGCACCTGGGCCCAGTCGATGCCCAGGCTCAACGAGTCGCTCATGGCCCGAACGTCGCAGCTGCGGCTTTGAAATGAAGACAGGAAGGCGACGCAGATTCGCTGGTCGCGTCGACGCGGGTCGAAAGGGCGTGCGATGCCAGGGGGAGCGCGTCGCGCGGCAGAGGCGTGCCAGACGGCTGTGAACGACGCACCCAAGGTGACGCGAAGGTGCCTGATCGTCTCGTTTGGTGACTCTCCGTTTGGTTCCCACTGGGGGTCGTGGACCCGGACTCTATGGAGCGGCCTTCCAGCGCGGGGGTCCCATGGTCCTGGATGCTGGCGATCGGCGAACAGCCTGGGCGTCCACCCACTCCCCGTCCGACGCGTCAAGGACGCCCCCCGGTTGGGCTGCCGGCCCGTCTCGGCGGTCGAGCTCACGCCCCCGCCCGAGAGGGGGGGTCTAGCGCGCTTTGCAGGGGCGCAGGGTTTGCCCCGTGGCTGCTCGTAGAGGCGCCCGCCCGCATCAGGTCGCTGGCAGGGGGGGGGGGCGAGTAGGGGCGAAAAGGGCTCCTCGAAAACAGCTGCAGGATGGCTTCGCTGTCCCGCTCGTCAAGGGAAGGCTGACGCGTGGGCGCGGTGGAACTTCCCAGCGCCGTCTGGAGGGCGGCTTCACTGCCAGGCAGGCCGTCGGGCTGGCCGAGGAGCTGGCCGTGGGATTGGGCGTCGGGCAAGGCCTCAGGTAGACTGTCGGGTAGGACGTCAGGTTGGGCGTCGGGAGCGGTGTCGGGTGAGGCGTCAGACTGGTCGTGGGGCTGGTCGTGGCGCTGGCCATGAAACTGGCCGTGGGGCTGGCTGTCGGGCTGGCCGTCGGGCAGGCCGTTGTGCTGGCGGTCGGGCTGGCCGTCGGACTGGTCGCGGGGCTGGCAGTCGGGTCGGCCGCGGGGCAAGCCGAGGGGCTGCTCGTGGGGCTGGCAGTCGGGCTGACCGAGGGGCTGTCGTTCGAGCTGGCTGTGGGGCTGGCCGCGAGGCTGGTCGCGGGGTTGAAAGTAGGGCTGGTCGCGGGACTGGCCGTAGGCCTGGCTGTGGGTGAGGCCGCGGGGCTGGTCGTGAAACTGGAAGTCGGGCTGGCCGTGGGACTGGCCGTGGGGCTGGTCGGGCTGGCCGTCGGGCTGACCGTGGGGCTGGCAGTCCGGTTGGCCGTAGGGCTGGCCGTGGCGGGCTTGCCCTGGGTCGGGCCGCAGGGCTGGCCGCGGGGCTGGCAGTCGGGCTGGCCCCGGGGCTGGCCGTCGGGCTGGCCGTGGGACTGGCCGTGGGGCTGGCAAACGGGCTGGCTGCGGGGCTGGCTGTGGGGCTGGCAGCGGGGCTGGTCGTGGGGCTGGCCGTGGGGCTGGCCGCGGAACTGGCCATCGGGCTGGCCACGGGGCGGGCCAACGGGCTGGCCGTCAAGCGGACCGTTGGGCTGGCAGCCGGCCAGGCTGCAGTGGGGCTGGCAGTCGGGCTGGCCGCGGGGCTGGTCGCCAGGCTGTCCGAGGGGCTGGCCGTTGGGCTGGCCGTTGGACTGGCCATGGGGCTGGCAGTCGGGCTGGCCGTGGGGCTGGCAAGCGGGCTGGCTGTCGGGCCCGCCGAGGGGCTGGCAATCGGGTTGGCCGCGTGGCTGGCCGTGGGGCTGACAGTCAGGCTGGCCGCCGGGTCGGGCTGGCCTCGGGGCTGGCAATCGGGCTGGCTGCGACTGGCCGTGGGGCTGGCCGGGTTGGGCATGGGGCTGGCCGTGGGGCTGGCAGTCGAGCTGGCCGTGGGGCTAGCAGCTCGGCTGGCTGTCGGGCTCGCCGTGGGGCTGGCAATCGGGTTGGCCGTGTGGCTGTCCGTGGGGCTGGCAGTCGGGCTGGCCGTGGGGCCGGCCGCGGGGCTGGCAGTCGGGCTTGCCCCGGAGCTGGCCGCTTGGCCGTGGGACTGGCCTTCTCGGGGCTGGCAGTCGGGCGGGCCGACGGGCTGGCCGCGGGGCGGGCCGCAAGGCAGGCCGCGGGGCTGGCCGGGGCTGGCAGTCGGGCTGGCCACGGGGCGGCCCTACGGGCAGGCCGTCAGGCGGGCCGCGGGGCTGGCAGCCAGGCAGGCCGTGAGGCCGGCAGTCGGGCAGCACGGGGAGCAGGCCGCCTGGCCGGCCGAGGGGCTGGCAGTCGGGCTGGCCGGGAAGCTGGCCGGGGGGCAGGCCGTCGGGCAGGCCTCGCGCCGCCGCGGCGGCGCCGGCCAACGCGCCAACCGCCGCCGACGCCGCCGGCGAGGAGCCGGCAGCGGCGGCGGCAGCGGCGGCAGCAGCGGCCGCCGCGACAGCGGCCGCCGCGCCGGCCACGGCGCGCCGCCGCTGCCGGAGGGCGCCGCGCCGGCGGCGGCGGCTGCAGCGGCGGCGGCGGCAGCGGCGGCAGCAGCGGCGGTGGCCGCGCCGCCAGCGGCCGCGGGGGCGGCCGCCGCGGCGGCAACCGCGCCCTCCGCCGCCGCCGCCCGGCAGCGGCGGCGGCAGCGGCAACGGCGGCGGCCGCCGCGAAAGCGGCCGAGACGCCGGCCACGGCCTGGCGCCGCCGGCCGCCGCCGCCGCTGCCCAAAGCATCCGGCAACCTGAAAAAGGAAGGGTTGAAGGGTTGAGCGGTTGAGCGCGATATTCCCAGGTTGAAACTAAGGTTGAACGGTTGGGCGGGTTGACGGGTTGACGGGTTGGGCGAAGGGTTGAAACTAAGGTTGAACGGTCGGGCGAAGGGTTGGGCGAGGGGTTGAAACTAAGGTTGAACGGTTGGGCGAAGGGTTGAAACTATGGTTGAACGGTTGGGCGAAGGGTTGGATCTAGGGTTGAAGGGTTGGGTGAAGGGTTGGGCGAAGGGTTGGGCGAAGGGTTGGATCGAGGGTTGACGGGTTGGGTGAAGGATTGGTTGAAGTGTTGGATCTAGGGGCGAAACCGAAGTTGAACGGGTTGGTGGGGGGGTGGGCTCTAGGGTAACAGCTGGCCTTGAAGCTTGGAGGTTTGGCGATCGGTCTGCAACTGAAGATGAATGTCCCGCGGGTCTGCGGGGGAAGTTAAGTCTATGGCTGCAGGTGTCGATATGCGGGCGAAATTAAAATTGAAGGGTTGTTTGAAAGGTTGGACATAATTGAAGTTGAAGGGTTAGTTGGCGGTTTGGATCTAAGGTTGGAACGAAGAGAACGGTTTGCCGAGGGGTCTGGATCTAGGGTTGAAACACAAGTTGATAGGTTTATTGGCGGGTTGGACATAAATATGAAGTTGAAGTCGAGTGGTTTTGTAGAAGACTTGTATATTGGAATGAAGTTGAAGTTGGATTGGTTGGCGCAAGTATTGGGGTCTTGGGTGGAGAATGATGATGGCGGCGATGATGGCGCGGAGGAAGAAGAGGAGGACGAGGAGGAGAGGAACGAATATGAGCGACGATGTAGAAGAAAGATCAGGCGAATGGTGATGAAATGCAGGGTGCGGCGGCGGCTGAGGAGGAGCAGGAACGGGGGGGAAGAGGAGGAGGACGATAAGGATGATGAGGAGGGCGAGTGCAGTTATACGGTGCACACGCGCGCGTACATACTAGTATATGGTTGCGCGCGTGTGCGTGTTTATATGCGTGTGTGCACGCGTGTGCGTAAGTGTGTTGATATAAACGCGTATATGTACATGCGTACACATACATGTATATATGTGTACAACGCAACTGTGGAAGTACGTATATATACACGCAGCGTGTGCACGTGTTGCATCGTACATATACATTCATAGTTGTACTGACCACACATGCGTATGTATGCACGGATACACATGCATAGTTATATGTGCGTAGTTGCGTGTGAACACATACACAGCTTTGTATTTCTATATACGCATGTACAGAGCCAACATGTTGATCATGACGACGGCCCAAACGGCCAACCAACATGTCGGCAACCCAAACGGCCAGCATGCACGGACAGAGAGCCAGCATGTCGGCGGCCCAAACGGCGCGGCGGTGCGGGCGAAACCTTACATGAGACGCACGCTCGCAAAACTGCCATTCGCTGCGAGGCGACCGATCCCCCCCCCCCCCCCCACACCACCCCCTCAGAAGCGCGGTTTGGCCAAGATTCCGCAGCGAATCCTGCCGTGGCGACGTGGCCCCACCCCCCCAGGATGCCCAGAAACAACAAAAACCGTTCGAACAAAAACACAAACCTAAGTCCTCGGACCTGGCCCCCCCTTCGCCTCCCCCCCCCACGCCTCCTCGTCGTCATCATCCTCCTCCTCCTCCCCCTCCTCCGCCTCCATTTCCCCTCCCCCCCTCCCCCCTCCATTTCCCCTCCCCCTCCTCCTCCTCCTCCTCCTCCTGGGGCATCGGTGCTGGCGCGGTGCTCTCGGGCCCGCGCCTCCGACGCCCTGAAAAAAGGGGCGCCTTCGGGCGATGTCCGACGCCCTGAAAAAAGGGGCGCCTTCGGGCGATGAGGGATGAGGAGGAGGAGAGGGGGGATGAGGAGGAGGAGGGAGGAGGAGGGGGGCGAGGAAAAGGAGGAGGAGGAAGACTTGGGATGAAGAGGATAAGGGCGATGATGATGATGGCGAGGATGCACCGATAGCACCCAAGATCCACGGGCAGCAAGCCTGCCAGTGAGGAGGGTGCCCCTTCTGACGCAGAGGTCGGGCGCATGCCGTCGCGTTCTCCTATGGAGGGATGTTAGAACATGCGGCAGACGACAATGCGAAACAACTGAACAGCGCTACGTCGTAGACCAGACATGTCGATCGCAGTGCATGCCCCGCCTGTATTTGGACATCACTGCAGCGGGGACCAGGTGAAGCTGAATTCCAAAGGAGCAAGACTTTGCAGCTCGCTTCATAACTGACACGAAGCTTTCGTCGATCCAGCACGCGCCCAAACAAGGGCTCAGGAACGTGCTTCTGTCGACAAAATGCCATAGCCAATGGGATTTGGGCGTCATGCTCCATAATAGATCTCCACTCGGGCCCCCGTCTGATGCATGACCGAGGACACTATGCAGCCGCAAAAAAAGAATGGACTTTCACTTTGAGCGAGTTGGAGATTCCTGGCGTCATGCACCAGCCATTTGCACGTAATCAATTATCCGCTGTGCCTCAACCAAGTGCCCAAGCAGAGTCTCAACTCGCCTGAAGGGTGCGTCGCCACTTGGAAGAGCTAGAATGCGATCCCTGCACCGAACCCACACGCGACGCAGGGGCGCGACCAAGTGCTTGACTTGGCCGCCCGTTCCTTTCAGTTTGGGGCATTGTCCTCGAGGGTTATTTTTGTATGCAAACCAAGATAACCCCAAGGTGGGATATGGATGAAACTCATCATATTTTTCATGGTCCTCCAGAATCCAAGGCCAAACATGATCGATGTTGGCGCCTGGTGTGCCAGGAAGCGCTCTGTATACCAATAGATATAGAACTGAACCCAGCGCCCACTGTGCCGCGCCTAAGTGAATAACGTGGAGTTCATCAGGCTCCCGGTTTACACACGATAGAAATGATATGCTCGAGAACAGCCTGCGGGCACTTGCCGCGTTTGCCGCGCGCCAAACCCGTGCTGAGCATACCCCCCCCCCCCCCGTCCAAAGCGCAGCTGGGTTGAAGTTGTAAGATTGCATCGGCAGCGGTGCTCCCGTTGCAACCGACGAAGGACAGCACGAGCAAAATGCACCGGCGCCGTAGCGTAGCATGCCGAGGCCCTTTTTGCAACAACCGAAATCGCCTTTTATGCCCCATGGCACGAGGAACTTTCCATCGAGAAGAGGTTGCCCTGCGGGAGCGAATTCAGCTGGCGGGTCGTTCGCCGCGCACTCAACTCCAAGGTGGTCGTTCGGTGGCCAGCGGCGCCCATGCGCTGCCTTCACTGACCAAACGATAGCGCGCCATGCCTCGCCCATGGTGTCAGCGCCATACGTGGCCCGAGTGGCCTTGGGGTCTTCGAAGAAACCGAATATGTAATTCTTGGGTTGTCGAACTGCACCCCCTGGCGCGAACGACGACTGCCGCGAAATGCAATCGAACGGCTTAGAGTGATGACCTCCGATGCCAGTTACTGGCGCGGCGTCGCCATGGATGCAGAAGGGGGTGGCGTTGCCCCCCCCCGCCCCTCTCTGCCCGTCATGGGATGCCCCTCAAGACGGGGGTCGCGCCGAGCCTCCACTTTTGTCCAGAACGCCCGCGGGGCGCACCCGTCGGACACCACAGTCCCAGCGAAACCTTCCTTGTCGTTCTGCCACCAATGAGCTAGCAACGCGTGAGGGAGCATGAACGGCATCGGCGTTTGTACGCAAGCGTTCGCTGGCGGCGCAAGAGGGCGTAGCGCTCGCCTCCTCTTGAGGGGCAGCACGTGCACATTGAAGAAGTTAGCCTTCGGCAAGAGCGGCTCGCCGAGGTACGCCTTCAAATCCTCGTCACCGTTGCCTGGCAGTAACAGAACGGAGGGCGAGGAGGGTGACAGGGGAGGAGGAGGAGGAGGGGGAGGAGGAGGGGGAGGAGGAGTCAGGAGTCAGGAGCTAGGAATCAGATGTCCAGAAATACACCAGGAACACGCCATAGGGAAAATTGCCCCGAGACCCAAATGTCAGACCCCCCCCCGCGATGTCAGACCCCCCCTCTCCTGTTTAAGTAAACAGGGGGGGGGGGGGGGGGGGGGGGGTGGGGGGGGGCTAGAGTTTGGGTGCGATTCCTATGAATCCCACCAGCCCTTTAGTGCGTAGGTGTCTAGAGCGTTTCCCCTGCCAACCCCCTCTGCCAACCCCTCTTCTTTCCTTTCGGGGAGGGTTTACCCCTCCCCATTACCCCTACCCCCTTCCCACTGACCTGGACGGGCGTTCCGCGACGCGTTGGGACGCCCAAGATGGCCAAGACTGCTCCAAGAGCGAAAAGGCGAGAAAGCACAAAACATTGATTTTCCTTAGGTTTTGGAAGGATTTTGGCCTCTTGGGGGGGCCCAAGAGGCGATCCGAGGCACTCTAGAGGGGCGAGGCTAATTGAGGCTCCCCCCTTCTTTGATATATATTCCCAACATGGCCCCAAGAGCGCCCCGAAGGCTCCCAAGAGCGCCCCAAGAGCGCCCCAAGAGCGCCCCAAGAGGGCCCCAAGAGGCGCCCAAGATGCCTCCAAGAGGCTCCCAAGAGACTCCCAAGAGGCCCCAAGAGAATCCAATATGGCCCAAGACGGCTCCAAGAGCGAAAAGGCGA